ATCTGAAACAAGGATAATATGTATTCTATGAAATATTGCTATTTTTGATCATTATAATTTTTCAATAATCAAGATTTTTTATTTGAGTGAATTTCCTTGAAAGATTATCTATCTATATAAAGAATATATGAAGAGTTTTGTGGCTAGCTATAAACACAAATCGAGAATGAAATAGAGAAACGCCCGCATTATCGGCTCACCAGTAATCGTATTTCAGATGTGAATTCCTCGATGCGATTCAAATGCAACTGAGGTTAGGAAGATGGAGAAGGAGAAATAAGAGAGAGAGAGAGAGAGAGATGGATCATCAAAACTGAAAAGACGAGCTGTCGTGACGTGTGTGTCAGACTCTCAGCTTTCGCGTCGATTGTTCAGAGACCAGTTTCACACGTACCACGAACAAGGAACTTTTCATTGGTGGTTTCCTCTACCACGTGAACTTGATCAACGATTATGGTTTAATAATGCTCGTGAAACCGATGAGAAAACAAGGAACCGTAGCTTTCGAACAGTGAGAACAAGCGCAGGACACGGTGCACTCTTGTGTGCACTTTTGTGTTCAACGTTCGAACGCGTCCCGCTTTTCTCCCTTTTCCCATTATTCCGTTTTTGTTGTGGCCCCATTCGCACGCACCCTTGTTCTGCTTCTTTTTACAAAGGTAGTTTTTAATTCGAGCCTAACTCAAATGTTGAATTAACTTTCTTAAAATGAATTTACATATATGGGAATTCGACATATGAGGATTCTTGAGAATTGAAATACCTTTTTTTTAAGATTGAAGGTCTTAAACGAGATAATTTGAGTCATAATTCTTCGCAGTAATTTTTTTTCTGTGAAATCTTTTTTTTTTTATTATATATATATATATATAAAATTGTTTACAATATTGATTTTAGTTTGATTTTAGTTTAAATACTTAAAATATTTTTTAAAAAATTCGTGAGACGTTCTAGTGATCGCATTTGGATGTACACAAATTTTTCAAAGACATTTTGGAATTCTAAAAGTTAAAAACTTAAATATAATTTCTTTAATCTAAACAGATTTTTCGAAATAAAAAAGTTTTTTCAAAGGTAATAATATGTATCTAATATAATAATTTTCTTTTAAGTTAATGTAATTATTTTTAAAACTGAAAGAAATATTTTTTGTATAATTTTTCCAGCTCGATCACTCTTATTTCAGTTTCTAAAAAATTAAATCATACAACTTTCAATTTATATTTTGATTTAACATGATTTGATTTAACATGAAAATAAATATAATTATATTTGTTTAAAGTATTTCAAGTTGCTTCCGGGAATCGATATTTCGATGAGAATACAAATGAATTTGTTGATTCTTTTACTTCAACGGTCTACTTTGTATTCAAAATAATAAATGACTCGAGAATATAAATGCTTCTTTACAAAACAAGTTTTAACAATGGGAATGTATTCAAACCACAATTTCATGGTGTACAACTGCACATGATTAAACCCGTTTCTAGAAGAATAACAAGCTGTTTTAACGAAAGGACTATAAATATTTTCATAATGAAGAATTTCAACATTAAATGCAATATGATGATAATAACTCAATGCATTTACACTTAAAATTTTCTTTTGACGAGATTCGTATCATTCGACATGGTTGAATAAGATTTAAGAATGTTGACGAGAGTAATAACTCAATACATTTAAAATTTTCTTTTGACGATTCGTATCATTGGATGAGATAAGGATTAAGGATTAAGAACGTTGATCATTGTTTAAAAAGAGAAAATTAATTGAAATTAGATGGAACAATAATAATAAAATAAAACAATAACAGCAAAAACAGGAAGAACTTTTGAGAAAGGTTTACGCAGAAATTAAATATCAATATTTGCAAAATAAATTTACAGAAAAAGAATCAAAACGTATAGGCGCATTGTTGATAAATAAGTAATAAACAAGTGAGGATAATAAAGAAACATTCTAAAAATATGATAATATTAAAAATTTTCATTGAAAAATAAGATAATAAAAAACACAAAATATCCATTACAAAACATGTACACCATCTTTCGCAAAGAAAAATTTATTAATCTCTGCGTCAACATCATACTTACTTATCATACTCCTCGTGAAAACGCGTGTTAACATTTCACCGGATAGAAATGCTCGATTACGAAGAGAGGCATAGGATTAGTGGTTTCTCTGGTATTGGAGGAGAATCTAAACGTGCGATCTCCTCGTCTACTTGTGCTCTGATCGTCGAGGAACAGAGAGGCAATGGGAATGAAAGAAGGAGAGACGAAATGGCGGAGCAAGGTATAAAAATTCTCGGAATGCAGTTACTTTCATTTATGGCCTAATCCTTCGGAGTCGTTCGCGGTGTTAACCGAGGTTGAACCGTTAGTCGAGTGTATCATACGGATTACGTCGCATTAAGATTGAATCAAATCCCTTGTCTTTCGCATAAATGCTCTGCTTGCCTTTAATTAACCTACAAACACGTACACAGACGATGCATATACGTATATAGGCACAGTAACAACGTATAACGAGATTAAGATAAGTTATAAGTAAGATTTATCGATATTTTGACTGGATTTTATTAATCTTATAATCTATAAATATGTGAAAATGGTGATAAAGTGAAGTAAGTTAGATTTGTTAAATAATATAATGTTCAAATACTTTTGGAATATTTGCTTGAATTTTTTTTTTATATAATTTGTTATACAATAACAATTGTATATATAAGTTGTTTATTGAAGTTTTATGAAATATGTAAATTTTACATATTACTCATTAAATTTTATTATTATTCAAATACTTCTTTAATTTTGATTTTCATGGAAATCAAAAAGAATCACTTTTGAATGTTAAAGTGCAAAATTATATCTTTATTCTTTTTATATTCACAATAAAACTATTATTATTCACTTATTCACTTTAGAGAGCAATTAAAAAATAAGCATTACGTTCCCTCAAATATTTCAAATTCATTTTTTAATTGATCAAATACAAAGTATGGCAATGATTGATTTAATAATTAATTAGTAATAATTAATATGAAATAATTATTTTTAAATTATTATTTAAAGTAAATTTTTTCTTCAGGATTGATTCATAGACACTTGTTATTATAATAATAATATTTCACAAATATATTGGATTCGATTTGGATAATTAATAAAATTTTAACAAATTATAAAAAAGAAATTATTCGAGAAAGTTATTTTCGCATAGAATAAATCTTCTTTCATCTTTCTCATGGTTTTTCCCTGCAAACCTGTTCCACAATTTTCCCGCGCACCTTTTACGCAACCGTGTTATTTTCTGCTAGGCGTGCCTTTCAAACTTCAATTTGTATCTATCGTGTTATTTTGAATCGAGAAATATATAGTAAAACGTAATACAGAAGTAATAATTTTTATTAAATATTCGAAATGATCAATTCAAAGCGTTATCGTTCGAAGGATTGATTATTTTCATCGAATATATGTTTTTTTATTGTGACTTGAAGATTTTTGCAAAATTGATAAGAATAAATAGCGAAATGATAATGATGAAAGATAAAGAATATTTGAGAAAATTTAACTTACCATTTTATAAAGAAAAATAGAACTTTTTATTTAAAAATATGTAAAAATATTATTTCCAATTTTCGATTAAAAAGTATAATTTCAAAACTTTATTTAATATTTAATTTAAGTACATTGCTTTCGAAATTTTTTAAATAATTTTTTTGCAAAAAAGTTATTATTTGAAATTTTAAATAAAAAAAAACTCGAAATGAATAATTAATTTACATTGTATTAATTTATATGTAATTTTTAATTTGTTAGGTTTTATACACAGAAATCAGCTAAAATTATTTGAAGTACTATATAAGTGTTATTTATTTTTCAAACATGAAATGCAATAAGCAACAAATCAAATAATTATTATACGCTTACTCAGTTATATAATGAGTGAAAAATATATATGCGATTGGCAGATAGGAATGCAAAAGATGCAGTTCAATGATGAGGAGACTCATCACTATTAAATTCAACTTTGATTGAATTTCTTATTGGCAAAGCGTGAGAATCATCTTCTTGACAATGAAGAAAATTGTCGATGTGGAACTTTTCTTGGCGAGAATATTAAAAACGATTACTGAATGAAGAAAAAATCTATAAATAATTCATTATGTAAATGTACAATTTTTTCTAATTACGATAAAACTGTCGAACCTATTAAAATTTCCATGAGAAATAATGCTATTAAGCAGACAAGTTAATCCATGCACCGTCTACTATAAAATTATTTCACAAATATTCACAATATATTATTAAATAACTGTAATTACACAGTGAAATGTGGATTGTAATAGATTCTTCTCACGCAACATCATATGGATCATACATTTTTTTTTTTGATTTAATATAATTTATGGATTATATTTTAAAAGTATATTAAATGTTACATTTGAGAAATATTTAGATATATCTTGAATATATTATAACTAAATAAACATATGTGATCATTATTGCATAATTAAATATGATAAGAATAATTTCAAATATCGAAATTAAACATTCTAAATTCTTTACTGAAATTTCTGCAAATATTTGATTCTATGGACTTAAATTTAAATCATCATGATGAATAAAGTTTGAAATTGCAATATGTTACGAAGAATTAATGTATATTTATATAAAGATAGCAATAAAGTTATTCTTGGTATTCTTTCTCAATTCAGTGAACTCCAAATATTTGAATATTCCCAGAATATTTCCAAACCTTTCTTGAACAATATTTGCGCTTAAGGATTATTTCTTTTTTTTATATTTCATTTATTTTTTATATTATATTCATAAATATTTATTCTTCTTTTTTAATTTCCATAAATTTATGATAATGATGAAAAATTTAGAATTTAACATAAACGAAATAATTAATATTCTTGAAAAAAAATAAAAAACAAGTCTGTAAATATTATTTTAAAATGGAATTATTCTTTTTTTTTTTTTTCTTACAATTAGATATGGGAACTGGTGGACAGCAAGACGGGTTATCTGACTAGGAGTGGATTGTACAAGGGTCTTGCTCTAGTCGCATTTGCCCAGCAAGGAAAGCACCCAAGTGATAAACTTCTGGAGAATTCTGAATCTCAAGGTTCGTTGCATATTTTATTCAGAATTATCAACATTATAAATACAATATTAATGTCTTAATGTTGACATAACATAAATACGACGTTAATATATCAATGTTTAATCTATAGTATATAGAAATTAAAAACTTAAATAAAATATTATAATAATGTTGTTCATTCTATTGTTATATTTTTTCATATTTATATTCAACGAATGTTTTTTATTTCAATAAGATTTTAGATTGTGCATACATATTTCAATAGAATTTATTCTAATTTGTTTAATGATTTTTTAAAAGAATCAAAATTTTTCGAATAACCGAATACAATAACCGAAGTTTTATAATATTAATAGAATTTGAAGTACTTTATAATCATAAATTTTAATAAATATAAAAATAACTTATACATCAATAAAACTTTTTATTAATATTTGAATATAATTTCTATTTCGTTTCGTTTTTATTTATGAAAAAAAAATTATGTTAAAAATTTTATAAATCCATATTTAAATAGGGAGTCAATTAATTTATAATTTCAAAAAATCCTAAATATTTTATTCAAAAAAAAAAAAAAAAAAGTAAGCTCAAAAATAATAAAAAATGTGTCATGATATCCCATAGAGAATAAATTTTAACGGAGAATAAAATAAGCACATTTTTAGTACGTACTTCTCTCAACAGATAACAGTTTAACTACCTATTACTATTAAATATAAATATTGTAATTGATTCGTTATCATATGTGATATTCTGATAATGCAAAAGCTTACTAACATTAGTTCAAAGAAATTTGGTTTTTTAAAGTGTCACTGACCAATACAATTAGTCTTTGTTTCTCTTATCATGAAAAAGACGTTGACGTTTATCACGGTCGAAAGCGGTTCACCGGAAGTGCACCGTTCTTCCGACTATCTTTCTTCCCCGCGTTCATTCTGCGAACACCGTCATCTATAATCAAAATTAATGGGACTTCTCAAAATGGATTCGTGTAAAATAATACTTTTGATTTCAATAATACATTGCAAATTATAATAACTAACATTTTCTATATTTTAATAATTTATTAAATTAAAATTGTACGTATACGTTTACTGGTAAAAATATTTTATTATTATTATTTGATAACGATAAAAATTTCTACAATATTGTGAGAATATATTAATTTAATAACTTTTAATTAAACAATTTATACAATTTATTCAAATTACAGCAATAGTTAAATATGATTAACAATGTATTATTATCGTGTCATTTGCATTGATATATCGCATAGCATGCTACATAATTCATTTGCGATACTTGTTCTTCATATATCTTTCTTTTTTTTTGTTGATGATTAGTAGACTGCGAAAAAAAAGTTTAAATTATAAATTAAGTTTAAATACAAAAGTTTTCATCCAAAATTTTATAATATTCTTTTTATTTTTATTAATATTTATTAATATTAATATTTATTAACCAAAGAAAATATATCGTATATTCATAAATAAGTATCACAGATCAAGAAAACATTTTTCAATATCGAAATTACGGCTACAATTAAGATTATCCTTCATCTTAAAAGAATAATGCCAAAAAAAAGATTATGTTTCTGTATTTTGTGATTTCATAAATTAACAACATGTGATCTCATCACAATAGATAATCATAAATTTTAAGAACACTTGTATATCAATAAAACTTTTTTTTTATTGAAAACTTATGTAATATAAAACAACAATAAATAACATAAGATAAATATAGAAAAAAATGAATAATATAGTATTATTATTCGCTTGCTTCTTCAGAGTTTCGTAAATTATAGATTTGTTACAATTGGTTTATTTTACTCGATTGAATTCTTTTTAAATTTCTTTTTTCTTTTTTGGTTAGAATTACCTGTTCCTGTTCTGGGTGATCTCTCTGAAGTAACACTTTTAGCTCAAAGATTGCACAAAGGTAGCAATCCAGCTAAATTGAATCTCACTTATTCGGATATATGCAATTTGGATACAATAGAGGTAAACTTAGTGCCTGAAAAGAAGGGAATCTTTTTGAAACATGTGGAATACCAAGTGACCAGCAAGGTATTTTTTTATGTTTTTTCTTACTCTTCATATTTTTAATTTTAATTTTTATCATATTAATATTTCTAATTGATATTATATTAATAATTTTATATTTTAAATATTAAAAAACTAATGAATGTTATTAATTTAAAATATCAATTAACAATTATTCTGAAAAAAAAATATACATTTTTTTAAAACAAATTCAATTATAAAATATTGAAAACATTTTCTATTTTCAGAGATTCAATTCCATTGTTTATAGACGTTACAACGATTTCGTATCGTTGCACGAGCTTCTCTTGGCAAGATTTCCATATAGGTTGATACCGAAGTTACCACCGAAAAAAATAGTGGGAGGTAAAATTATAAATTATTATACGACAATGATAAATATCAATAATTTCTATTAATTTCCATACTCAAGAAAATTAACATAAAATATATTAAAAATTATTATTCTAAACTATTATTCTTTGCTTTGTTTCCCTTTCCTTTCTTCTTATCGATTGGTTACTAATTACAATATATACTTGTACTAAATATATAATATAATATACATTTATAGCGGATTCTCAATTTCTGGAAGAAAGAAGACGATCCTTATTAAGATTTCTCACCGTAATTGCTCGCCACCCTGTAGTGAGCAAAGACCATATCGTACAATTTTTCTTTACATATACTGGTGAAGAAACGCAACACAAAATTCGTGAAGTGTTTAGGAGAGTACCTGATGAATTTGCAACATCAGAATTATCGTCGAGGGCAAAGGAATTGGTGCCACCAGAAACGTTAACCGAATTCGCAAATAGTCGCGATCAGATCAGAGTAATACTCCTTGGAATTTCACGACTCAAAAATATTGCTGATTGTCTGGCAATTAGATCGCATAGTTATGCGGTAGACATGGCGGAATTGGGCACACAATTAAGCAATTTGGCCTCGGAACCTCATGGTACCACTACTTGGGCTACTGGCGGTTCTACTATTTGGCAAGAAATGAAAAAAGGTTTCCACATAATTTCAAAGTAAGTAAATAAAAATTTATAGAGTGAGTTAATGATAACTTTTATTTTAAATTTTAAATTTTTATAAAATGAAGTTGTTTTATAAGTTTTACAAAAAATATTCCTAGAATTGAAAAGTATACAGTAAGAATATATATTTTGTATTATTGATATTACATATATAGAAATTTGATTATTTAAAGAAATGAAAAATAGATTTATTACTGTAAATTGTCTCAAAGTATTATAATATATTCCGTTCACTTCAACATTTTCAATTTATTTTACTTGTATTATATACAGAATAATATTAGTATAAGTTGCATTGATTATATAAATAACGAAGAAATAAGATTTTTAACTTAACTGATTTATTTCCAACTTAAACTGATTTAATCAGCAAATATTATTACAAACAAAATTCAATAATGATATTAAATATAATATCAAGATGATGAATGGAAATAAATGCAATTAATCTTATCCTATTAATATTTAATAAATGTAGATACCTTCCATTTTCCATTAAAATCTCAATTATTAAATATCCTAATTTATATTTGTAATAAATATCTCAATCGAAAATAATTTACTTCAAAATATAACTTCATTTAACATAACTTAATTTATTTTCAGAGAATTCAACTTACTCTCAACGAGAGCTCTTCAACAAGCAGTTAGAGAGGAAACAATGGTATGTGAAAGGTTGAATCTTCTCTTAGACGTTCTAGTAGCGCATAGAATCTTGTGCGAAAGGCACGAGCGTGGAGTAAGCGCTGATCATCAACGTGCATTATCTACAATGTTGTCCTTAAAGAAAAGACAAATGCAAGGTGTGATACGAGGAACTGATGTAAGTAGATCCTTCAAGAAAATAATTCAACGATATATGATGATTTATATACAGCCTTAAGAAATATACACATATATTTATCCGGTGACTTAACTCAATTCATTGTTACCATGTGCGGTCATTATATGATTATTCGGAAATTGCTCAAGGTCTTTTATGTTAATGTCAGAGGAAAAATGTGATAATATATAATCTCGAGCTTATATCGTCTTACATAATTCATTCCAATTGAAAACAACTTGATGCATGTCATATTTCAACAAGTTCTCATGCTCTTTTATATTAATTATCACAAATGTTATTATCTATAATTATAAAGTGAATTAGAATTATAATAGAATATTAAAAATAAATAATATTGAATTCATAGACAAATAATTTAGATTTAAAATGTTTTTTTAACTATTAAAATTTCCATTTATAAATACTTTTATAAAAAACTTTTGTTAATAATTCATTCTTGATATTCCTTAAAGAATGTTAGAAATTATACCATGAATAAATTTCTATTTAAAAAAAAAATAGATATTTGAATAATTTTTCGCTATTTATAAAAATTCTTGATTATTCTTACTTTATGACTGAATAAAAATGATGAGAAATATTCGATTATTATCAATCGTTTTAACGTATCAAATTTTCTTTTATTTATAGAGTGATACAGTCGAATATCTGGAAAATAAAATGGTTGCTCAAGAATCAGTGATTGCAAACGTCGAATTGCGAAATTGTTTTTCGTTGCATTGTTTACATATGGAAACGCAGCTCGTTCATGCTCATTTAGAAATACTTGCCACAGTTTTACAAAGTCTTGTCAACGTTCAAATTCGTGGTCATTCTGAGGTAAGATTTCTTTGTCCAAAACACATTTTAAATATCGTAATTTTTAACATGTTTTATGCTATCAAAAAGATAAAAAAAGAAAATTTGGTAAGTGTCATTTATTAATTAAAAAAAGTTCAATTGTAATTCTTTGTGACTATAAGATAAAATCATAAAAAAGTAGATTTAAATTTTTAAATAAATAATATTTAAAATGCATCATAGCTCGCTGAAGTATGGAAGTTAATAGAACCTACAATCATGAAGTGTTTACCAGAAAAATCAACTAATGGATCGAATGGTATTTCATAGCGGAAAGAAAGCTTCATTTTATTATAAGGTAAGATTTGTTGTAATAAGAAAAAGACCGCAAAATAACAATAATATACAATTGTAAAACACCCACATTGAATTTACATATTTAAACGAATATATTCAATGAATCGTTTAGAAAAAAAAGAACAGGGGTGCAATACATAATTATAAAAAATATTTTGTACATTCTATTATATTTTAAACACATAGAATTCGAAGACTTTTTGATACATTCCTTGTTGTGTACTTAATATATTTTATGAGCTGATCGATACTCGTTAAACGAGGATATAATATTGTATATAAAATAAGCGATGCTTTTTTTTGTAAAGAATGGATAATAATGGATAAAACATCTGTATAAAAATATTAAGCATTGTAAATAATTTGTTTTTGCCGAAACATTGTGTGTTTTTTTTTTTACATGATTTAGAAGTCTGACAAGTGTTAACACATATCCCGTATGACACGTTGATCGTGCATATACGGTATATTTTACATTTTACATACATTTATATACATCATTATGTACTGCTAAAAAATATATTGTTATTGTATAATCGTATCAATTAATTTACTTTCACATTCCTATTGAATTGAAAATTTTTTGAGATCATTTTTTTATTATATCTTAAAACATCAACAAAAAACATTATTTATTATCAAATTTTATTAAAAGAAAAATTAATAGAAAAATAAAGATTAAAGGTTAATCTTTATTTTTTGATAGATATGAATTTTTAATTTCATTTTTTTTTTTTGTCATTTTATAATATTTGAACGTAATATAAAAATATAAGTTTTAAGATAAAAAATTATTATATCAAAAGTTATGTTTTAAAAATGCGTATTATTGATGCATTTTAATGTATATTAAAAGTATTTAAGAAATAAACCTACATCAATATTTATTAGATTAATTTAAACTTGATAAAATAATTTCCGTACATTTAAATTTATATTCTTAGATTATATTAATTTTTTAATTATATTTATATTCATTTTTATACTCATAAAATTTATATCCGTCAAAATAAAATTTGAGCAAATTAAAAAAATAAAATAGAAAAATTCGTTATTCTTATCAAAAAATGTAAGAAAATGAAAGAAAACATTCTTTATTAATAATTTCAGAAATACGTTATATGTATATTGTAAGTTGAAAATAATGAAAACTATTATAAATATTTCATAATAAAAGAATAAAAAATATAAAATATAAAACTAAAATTTTGAATATTATATTATCTATGATATATTAAAATATGACTTTTATGATCAATTTTGTTATATAAATATAGTTATATCTAATAACATAAATTAAATTGAAAGATTTTTAGATTACTATATACAAAATAGGAAGTATGAAAAAAGTAAAATAAAATTACAACATATTTTTTTTATTGATGAAACTTTAACTTATGATGAAATTTTATTAACAGAAAATCAGTAACAAATAATATATAAAATAAATATTTATATATTTTTTATATAATAAGAATAGTTATTGTATATTTATTTTACAACAGAAATTATAAATTGTTATCTTAGTTTAAATGCATATAATTTATTTCCAATCTTAAGATGTATTTTATTAATATGTATATATCTTTCTTCTGAATGTTCAACCAAAAATTGATTCAATTTAGTAGTCAAAGAATGTGTATAATTATTTAAAACTACAAATTCATTGCCAAGACACCATAAGAAACTTATATGATAGGAAGAATCCTAAACAATATAAAATTTTTATCAAAATAATTGTTATAATTTCATGCAATATATA